AAAAATAGAAAGCTAAATGATTGGAACAAGTTTAAAAAAAAAAAAAGTGAACCAGCGGGTTATAATCAATAGGTTACTCAACTTGGAAATATGGAAGACCTGAGTTCAGAGCCCACCTTAGACACTGACAAGCTGTGCCTTAGTTCCCTTGTTTGTAAAATGAGGTGGATTTGCTGGCCCCTAAAGTCCCTCCCAGCTCTAAATTTGTGATCTCGTAAAACTGGGTAACACGCCAGCTTCATGTCTAAATGTTTGATAAGCCTAAGAAAGTAAACTACTTGGGGAGGGCCTCCCTGGTCAGTGTGGACTGCTGGGAATAGGGGAAACAGGTTTTGACCAGAATAAGCTGTTTTGTTGAAAATGATTCCCATTTTTTCTTAAAAAAAAAAAAAAAAAAAAACAGAAACAAAAAACTCCAACTTGTAGCAAATGGACTTTATTTAGGTCTCTCAATGCTTTTCTCTTTTTCTTTTCTTTTTTGCTTTCTTTCTTTTCTTCCTATTTAGATCACTAATTTCCCCAGCTGTGACGCTGACATGTTTTTGTAAGATTTCTTTGAGAGACTCCATTGTAAAGTGGAAAGAGAGCTGACCCCAGACTCAGAAAGACCTGGGTTCAAGTGCTACCTCTGACACAACGTTGGCTGTATCACCCTGAGCAAATCATTTAACTTCTCAGTACCCCAGGTAACTCATTAAGATACAAAATGCGGAAGTTGCCCATCTCTATCATCAGAGGGAGTTTCCATTCAACAGTCGGGGAAAAAGGGATTTCTATAGGACACATAAAAAGACATTTGACCTTTAATTGCAACTGTATTCTAGAGGTTGGATTTCTGAGAATTAGGCAAATATGGTGCTTCCTTTGAATTCTAGGAAGAGATGGTTTTTGTTTTCATAGTGACATCCGGTGGACTTGCTATGTGACCCTTTAAATTCTCGTGGCTCAATTTCCTTATATACAAAATGAGAGTGTTGGACTAAAGTATTTCTAAGACTCTTGACCAATGTTGTTTGAATTCTGTGATTCACTGCTGGTGGAGCTATCATCTTTCTGAAGGTTGTGAGGCTTTGGAAGGCAACACTTCCAAAGCAGCAAAAATGGAGATTAAATGGGGAATTACTGGGGGAAAATGTTTCATGATAGTCTTCAATATGGAGTGGTAAGTGGAAAAGTGAGCAGAGAAAAATTAATGATATAATAACTCATATTTATATTAGTGCTTTGAGGTTTGTAACTTGCTTTTCTCACAAACTCTGCAAGATAAGAGAGTGAACTTTTTAATCTTCATTTTACAAATGAGGATACTGAGGACCAAAGAGATTAAGTTGATCAAGGTCCCACCACTAGAAAATGTCAAAGCTGATATTTAAACCCAAGCCCCCAATTCCAAATCCAGTGTTATTTCTACCAAATTAGGCTATGTCTTATCAGAAGGGAGCAGGCACCTAAGATAATCTGCACATTTCATATGAAAATCTTTTTTTTTTAAATTCTCTTTTTCTGTCTGAGAAGGATGAAGAGATGGGATACATTGAGAAATATAGGTGATAGAAAACCAAATTATAGCCATACAAATTTCTTTTTTTTTAATTAAAAAAATTGTCTTTTTGCAAGGACACATTTTGTCACCAAAAAAAATATATCAACCCCTGGCAAAAGTATATTCAGTGAACATGTAAATAGAAAAACTTCCTGTTATACTGATTGCAATTGACGGTACCTGTAACTTTCCACTTCTGTAGCCTTGTTGAGGAAAAAAAAAAGGAAGTATGTAATGATTTGATGACATTGTTTATTGTATTTACCCTAATATAGTAGCCTTTTAACATTGTCTTCATTTAAATTGTGGCAGTTGTTGGGTATATTGTTCTTTTGGTTCTGCTTTCTTCACTCTGCATCATTTCATGTGCTTTTGCATGTTTCTAGGAATTCTTTAGAGTTCTTCCCTTACAGCACAAGTCTATTCCACTACATTCACAGGCTACAATTTGTTCAGCCATACCAACATCATTGGGCACTAAGTTAGTTTGTAGATTTTTGTTACTAGCAATGACGTTATGAATATGTTTGTGTAGTTCCTTATTATCATTAAGCCCATTGGGGTAGAAGCAGAGCCGTGGAATTTCCATGTCAAATGGCACAAACAATGTAGTCTTGCATAATTTCAGGCTTTTTCAGAACAGTTGGATTAATTCACAGCTTCTGGAGCAATAACTTAGCATGGTTATCTATCCATAATCCTTCCTATATTTAATCACGCATCAATTTAGGGTTAAGGTGATACCCCAGAGTTGATTTTACTTAAATTTCTCTGTTAGTGATTTTTGAAAAATTTATTATATGGTTCTGGATAGTTGTTATTTGTTTTGAAAAGTATTGTTTAATATCCTCTGATCTTTGTGCGTCAATTGGAGAAAGGCTCTTAATCTTGAAAACTAGTGTTAGTTTTCAATGAATTTTGGATGTCAGACTATTTTTGCCTCAAGTCTGTATTTTTTCTTTTCATTTTACCTATATTGGTTTTGTTTATGCAAAAGCTTTAAAATTTCATATATTCAAAATTGTCTACTTTTATGCTGTTTCTTAATCCCCTTCTCTATTCCATCTCTGGTTATGAATTTTCCCCTTATCTGTAGGGGAGAAAGAGGAAAGGGAAGGGAGAGGGAGATGGAGACAGAGATAAGGAGAAAGGAAGGGTGGGGGAGAGAAAATATCAGTCCTTTATTCTCCTCTGGCTTTTTATATGATACGATTTTTAAAGTTTGAGTCTTTTATCCATTTGGTTTATAAAAAACAACTATACAGTGCATGACACAAATTGGTGGTCTAAATCTCTATTCCCCAAAACTGCTACCCAGTTTTTCCAACAGCCTTTACTGAATAAGGGGTCCCTTCCTAGCTAGTTTTTGGAAGACTAGATAGCAGGTTATGTTTGCTTATCATATCTTGTCCACTCATGCGTTTTCTATTTTTTAAAAATCTATTATCAGTTTTTACTAGTGTAAGTATGATATTGTAATATGCTTTAAGATATGGTAAAGTCAAGCATCCTTTATTTCTTTCATATGAAAAAGGATCCTTTTATTTCTGTGTTTATTGCTGTTTTTGTTTTTTTGCTTTTTGGTGAGGCAGTCTGGGTTAAGTGACTTGCCCAGAGTCACACAGCCAGTAAGTGTCAAGTGTCTGAGGCCACATTTAAACTCGGGTCCTGACTCCAAGGCCAGAGCTCTATCCATTGTGCCACCTAGCTGCCCCGCTTAGTATTTTTTTTAACATAAATATTGTATCTCATTGAATGGTCTTTTTCTTCATCCATTGATAAAATCATACAATACAAGACATTTTGTAATAAAATGTGCTGTGGAAAATACACTGGTTCTGGAGTCAGAAGATCTGGGTTCAAATCTTGTCTCTGATGCTTGCTACCTGTGTAATTCTGGACAAGTTACTTAACCTTCCTGGTTCTCAGTTTTGTGTATATAATTAAGGTGATCTCTGAGTTCCCTTCTAGTTCTTTTTTTTTTTTTTTGTTAATTTTTTTTTTAGGCAATTGGGGTTAAGTGACTTGCCTAGGGTCACACAGCTAGTAAGTGTCAAGTGTTTGGTCCAAGGCTGGATTTGAACTCAGGTCCTCCTGACTTCAGGGTTGGTGCTCTATCCACTCCACCACCTAGCTGCCCCCCTTCTAGTTCTAAGAGACATATTACCTATAGTTAATTAGACTGAGTTTTCCTAATGGTGAGCTATTCTTGCATTCTGATAAAAATCCAACATGGTAATAATGAATAGTTTTTGGATGTATTGCTATAGTGTCTTCACTAATAATTTATTTAAAAATTTTGCATCAATATTTACCAGTGATATTAATCTATATATGTTTATTTCCTTCTTTATCTCTCCTTGGTTTAGGTATCAAGATAATATTTGTCTAGTAGAAGTGGTCAGATAAAGTACTTTATTTCTCTGCTTTTGAGATTGATGTAGCATAGGGAATATTTGTTTTTTGTTTAATATTGGATAAGTAAGTGAATTCTTACAGATAAGAGAGAAGTAAATTCTGTCAATCTTGACAAGGAAGGCGTTTGTTTTTTTATTTCCTAGCAAGTCATTTATGGATTATTCCAATTTCCTTCTGAGAATGGGTTGTTTAGGTTTGTTAATTTGCTTATTTTATATTTTTGTAGCTGTTCATTTCATTTAAGTTTTCAGTTTTGTTGGCATATATTTGGGTATAGTAGTTTCTGTGTCAATTGTTTTCTGCTTTATTGTGAATCTCCCCTTTTTCATTTATGATAAAGAAAAACAAAATTTATCTCTTTTGGAGACAGATAAAACCAGCATATTCATTTTGCTGATCTTTAAAAAAAAATAAGCCTTTGTTTTGTTTATCGTTTTCTTTCTTTTCAATTTTATTATTCCTTTTGAGAATTTATGTAGCATGTTATGGGTTTGAAATCACATGCTTAATCATCTCCCTTTTTGTTTAAAAGAAAAGCTATGCTCTCATCTTGGCATGGAGGTGTTTCAGGGTTGTCAAAGATTTTACTAGTGGAGTGCAAACTCTGGTTCTCTAATGCTGTAACACTTTTGAATATGGTCCCAGCAATACACTATGTTTTCTTTCCTAGGGACAGTCTAGCTAAATGTGGAGAGATTCATCACCAGCAGACTGGTCACTAACAAGGCACTGGGCTAAATACTAGGGAAAACAAAAAGTCCCTGCCCACAAAGAGCTTACATTTTACCAGTGGGATATAACATGCATACAAAGTTGCTTGGAAGGCAACTAAGGACTCTTGTCTTTCTAATGTCATGAATTTGTGTGATGTCAGACTGAACACTAGGTTCTAAGCTCTTCTGTTTTTCCAGAAAAATGAAATTGGCAAATCATATTGCTCAAGAATCTCAGAACCTATGAGGAAAGGTACTTCAAAGTTTACTAGTCAATCAACAAAAAAATACTAAACCCATACTGTGTGCCAGGCACTTTGCTAGGTCTTAGAGATATAAATACAAAAATGAAGCAATCTGTACCCTCAACAAACGTCAAAGGAGACAATATATGTGTGTGTTTGTATGTGTGTGTGTCTATGTATATAATATACAAAACACGTAAAAACCAGATATATAGTACAAGTAGCTGGTGGAGGGAAGAGCAGGAAAAGCTGTCTATATCAGAAGTTTCAACCTCTTTTGGTCTCCTAGTTATGGCAGCCAGGGATTCCAGGTGGAAGAGAGGTCAGAAGAGTTTGATATTTATACCATTTTTATATATTTATATTTTTGAGGCATGGTATACACAGGCATAGAGATAGGAAATGGTCAGTGGACCATGCTGTGAGTGAATGGAAGTCATGTATAACAAAGCTGGAAAAGTTAAGAAGGGACCAGATTGTGAAGAACTTTAAATGCTAATAATTCACTTCCTACAGTTCATTGGTAACAGTAAATAAGATGTCTACATTTTGACAACCAAAAGAGTTTAGCAATAGATTGAGCCCAAGTCGAGATGCTCAAAAAGTTATGAGTGTTTCTTGCCAAAGAAGATATTAGTCTACTAAGTCTGTGTTTCTTTAAAGACATAAGAAAATTAAACTGGTTCAAACCTACCTGCTGTGTCCTTTTACATTTTAACTGATTAATTTTTTAGACAAGACAACCTACAAATAGAAGAAAAATGCTTGGATGCGCTAAATAATATCATCAAAAAATGAAATTTATTCTACTTTAACAGATAAGAAATAACTTGTAATTCGTGCTAGCATTAACCACAAATGAGAAGTCTATATAGTCAGCCCAGTAACTTATTAGAACAAAGATAAAAATTAAGAAAAATAAGAAAAAATGAGAAAACTATATTACACACAATTTAAAAATTAGCATTGAACCTATTCAAACAAGTTTTTGATGACAAAAGATAGAAATGGATGGCAGAAAGAACATTGACACTTAAAAAAAAAGTTTTGGCTAAACAGAACTTTAATCTGTGTGAAATAGCTGCCACAACGAGGAGACCGAATGAACCTAAAAACTGCCTCCGTCAGCAAACACGATCTATTTGTCGAGTGGAGAGTGATGGCAACCAGGATAATGCTAGTTTAGAACAAACTTGCTTATTAAATGTTATAGTGAAGGATGTTCAATATCATGAGCAGTAAA